TAAGCTTTTTTCCATAACTTTTATATTCTATTGTATTTTTTTTTACCACATTATATTTTAGAACTTTCAGCGCTCTTTTCTTCATTTTACCCGTTGAAGAACTGCAGTTTAGGCAGCGGAAAGCTGGCGTTTTTAAATTTTTAGCCAGAAAAACTTAGTTTCTCGACCTCGTCATTCTGCACATACGCACATTCATTTGTAAGACTAGTCTGCATACCTTTCAGATATCGACATTATCTCTAATTAGATTATTATTTGCCACAGTCCCCGATAATGGCTCCTGGCAAAAAAAAAAAAAAACCATCAGTTTGGATATCTCATAGCTGTAGTCAGTAACAGTTGCCTCACACATGGGTAGGATGAGACTAAATCTGTTGCCTTTATCGAATGAATAGGATATTTCCAAGATCTTTTTTGTAAACCGTGGTAATGTTGTTAGCGTGAGTTCTATGTCTTCGTCAGCGCGCGTGAGTAGTTTCGTTTGCTATTTGCTAATATGTCTTTTGTACAAATATAAATGCTATTTGTATTCACCTTCTCTGTTAATGTGTTACCTGAGCACCCCGCTGAGCACCCCGCTGACCACCATTGTCGAATTAGTGTCGGGCAAAGTGAAAGTTAAACTTACAGTAAAGCAAGCAAACAAGAGCATAAAAGAGTTCTAGTTCTTAAATTGCATCATGATCGGGACAATGGTTTGCACCGGAAGAATATCAGTGATATGCTGTTTGCACTCATTAAACGATATCTACACTAATAAAGTAAAATAGACATGATTACTAAGGAAAGCAACTTTCGAAAATTTTATCCGGAGCTGAGTGATAAGGCACGAATCACCGCAACAACGCTTCGAGTCGGAATTGATTGCTTCGATCGGAGTCCTTCTGTGAAGGAGAAGGATTGGATGAGAGGTGATGAGAAATCTTTCTGTTGAAAAACCAAATCAAAAGGTCACACTACCACGCGGAGTATGACAATGTCTAAACTGTCGCGGCTTGTTAATATTTCAGAACGCTGTTCTCTTTTCATTATCATTATGGTTAATAACCTGTAGTGGTTAAGAAGAATAAGAACAACATTATGAACAAAATGAGTCAGAAAACAGCTGTTCTTGTGACATATCTAATCGACCATGCCTTCAGTGCTATGCTCCCTGGTTTTAATTGGTAGAACAGTTTCGATAAAGGGTGTACTTATATGAGACCGCTGTGAACTAGTTATTTCGCGGTATTGGCGCTGTTAATTCGTCGTTATTTCAAATGTTGCTTAGCAAGGTAGCTTAGCAAGGTAAAACTCGATAAACATTGCTTTGCCGCGACGCATTGTACTTTCAATAAGAGCATACACGTTGTCGAACAATTTAGAAACAATGAAATACAAGTAAACAAAACATTCGTGTTTGACATTACTCTTATAACTGATAAATAACTCTCAGTCACCTCCGACATCATAACAAGAGCTGGTTCTAGCTATCCGCCCCAGGCAACTAATCTGTATCAGCCCGGTAAATAACTGAGGAAATAACTTTGGGCCAGTACATTTACTACAAGAGCACAGAACGCCATTTACTTTGTTAGATGAGTTACACCCACCTCAGACTGAATTTTTGTTTTCTGTGTTGGGGATTCTGCCATCAGATTTGATCCGTTTGCGGTCTTTGAAGTATTGAGATAAGACAAGAATTAGTCTGCATCTTATTCCGTAAAGCTACAATTGTTGAAATTAATAGAAAAGACAAGAGTCAGTTTTATCGGAGGCCTTAAAAGAGCTGAGTTAGGATATTTTGAGTTATTTTGGCCTCGCACAAAATTACCTTTAAATTGAAGGAAACCTAAAAATAAAAGTTTATTAAGATAGAAAAACACCAAAGAGATAATAATAAACCTTAAAGGAACAAGGATGGTTAAAGATGGAGAGGATTAACACGGATTACAAAAGACGAATTTGAAAATTTAAGGCTGAACGTTTCAAGACTTAACTCCTTTTAGAAACGCCCCTGAGAAAGCCGACGCCCTAAATGCTATACTTCTATAGCTCAATACAAACAACAGAACTACAGTACCTTCTTTTAAATTCTGATAATCAAAATAAACGGGCGATTTTCCCCTTTTTTTTTTTCTCGCATTGTTTTCCAACAGACAGGGAACTCATTTTATCTGTGTTTCTCCGGAGTTAAAATGATATACTTGTGAAAGTTTGGGACATCTCGAAAAAACTGTGTAAACACAGCGTTTCTCGCTCTCCTACCACTCGTGTTTCTATAACACACAAAAACGGATAACCTTGTCAATATTGCTTTACAATTTGGTCAGAGCCTTGATCGATCACCACGTCAAACGGTGTAAACGAAAAGTGAAGGGGCCGTAATAGCCGCACAGAATTCAAAGATTTCGGGCTAGTTGAATCTCTTTTCCTCGATTTCCAACTTGGGATCAGTTTAGTTTACACTCATCATTTCCCGCCAAAAAGAATCGATTTATACTGGAGAGAATGCCAGGGTCCAAATCTGATCGCAAGCTGGACATGAATACCTGTATGTATGTATGTATGTATGTATGTCTTGCAGCTATAATATAGTTTCACGGTTCATCAAATCGGTCCAAGCTTTGGGATGAACACAAAGTTAAGTTTTCACTTTCTTACTGGGCCACATGTTGTTCAACAATCACAGACACTAATTTTTGTGCAAGCAGGATGACTGAGGCCCTGATTTCACAGAAGCTGTCAATGCGACAAATTAGGTAATTGTGGTTATTGTCGATTTTTGCCAATCGATAGCAATCGATAAAGAAATTTTTCTGTGAGTTATCGATTGTTATCGATTGTCGATATCAATCTATAGCAATCGGCGATTGCTATCGATTGATATCAATTGAATCGATTGATTTTCAGTCATTTTTTCAGGCACAGTATCGGTGTCTGCTTACAACTCAAAACATTCAGTACTGTAGTTCAAAACATTGAAAATGTTTCTCGAAAGAGTAAAGCGCATGAGCTCTGTAGCAGTAGCCCGATGTTGATTTCTTTGAAACCTGTAAAGTTCGCAGTACCTGGACTTCTCCTGCTTCTTTGTTTTGCTTTCTTTTGTTTCCCAGTAATTTAGAAATGTATTGCTCAATTTTCACTCGACTTCTCTATAATTAAATTTGATTAAAATGTAGTGTATGCAAAGAAATACCGTAAACACCGTTTTTTCCTTATTACCGGTCATTTGTTTTCAACTCCCGATAACTCGAACACCCGATAACTGGGATCTTTTCCAATTTACCTTGAAGGTTTGAGTTATCGGGAGTTGACCATATGAAAAGACCTTCTTCATGATAGCCCCCGCCATCAGTTTGTTTTAACATTATAACCTAATGAACATCTGAGGCGGCAAATAAGTTTAAGGTCATTCCACTGAAATAGAGTCTGCACTGGGATTTTTGTGAAACTTTGCCTAATGATTGTTTATATTATAGGAACTTAAATTTTGAAATAAAAATGAGGGGTCCCCATGTTCGTTTAGGAGCAACAGCATCTTGTTTATACCNCTCTATGGCGAGGTCCAGCCGTAAAGAAAAAGCCGCAGTAGGGATGCGCAATGCAATACTGGGGAATGACCTTAAATCGAGTTTGGGCTAGTTTATTATTTATGATACATTTTACGTAGCCCTACTATGCTTTAATTTTAGTGTTGCTGTATGAAATATTCTAAATTTTCATCTTTAAGTCTAAACGGAAGCAAAAGTTCCATCATAAAGAAAAAAGCCATTGCGTCTAGATTCTCGGCAGCCGGTAGGTGTTTTCAAAAAAGCTTGATACCCGGCAGTCTGAAATTCTTATAGATTGGAGTGGACGGTAGGCCCAATGTTGAAACAAAAGTGTGTTTTCAAATTTCTCCGTTGATGGGTTAGACGGCGCGGGGCCTAAATGAAGCTGTGGAATTTTGCGGCCCGTTTTTTCGTTACACTGAGGATGGCATTGCTAATTTCATATGAGTCTTCTCTGTAAGTCAGAGCAATGATATCTTTTTTGTACCGAAAACATCGGCTAACATCGTCATTTTGAGTATACCCTAGTTCGAAAAATTATTCAAATCCCATGCTAAAATAATGATTGAAATCGCTTGACAGTTCTGAAACAGAGATCGACTATTATAGGAAGAGGTCAAATACATGATATTTCGTGGAAATTCTATAAGAATTTCAGACTGCCGGGTATCAAGTGTTTTTGAAAACACCTACCGGCTACCAAGTATCTAGACGCTATGGCTTTTTTTCTTTATGACGGAGCTTTTGCTTCCGTCTTAGACTTTTAGATTAAAAATTAGCATTTCATAAAGCTTAACTTAGGCCCCGCGCCGTCTACAACAGCGGAGAAATTTGAAAACACAACTACCGTCCACACCAGTCTGTCACGAAAACGGAGGCTTTTCAAACCGAAGGAATTTGAAAACGCCGACGTTGTCTTAGCGTGAACGGACGAAACATTTTGAAAACGAAGCTTTTCGAAAACGTTTCATTTAGGTCTTGTTACGTTTCATTTGCGTCTTGCCCTTGTACTTCAGCTGATTTCAGTGAACTTTATCGGTTCTGAGCAACGCAATTGCCGTCTTGCTGATGACAGCCGCGTAAACAAGTAAACTCCGGCGAGTGTTTCAGTCATTTGACTTGCACGAAGCGAATATAAAATTCACAACCAAATAACAGTATTATTTCGGATCTTACCGTAACAGTTTCCTTTGTCACAGTTTTTCAGAGGAGCTTTTGCGAGGAATATTTGAGAAGAAAACTGCCTCACTCGTTGTGACGATTTCCTGACATGATAAAACTCACACCACCTCTCGCCTCAAAAACTGAACACCGCGGCACAAGTTTTCCCGCCTTTTCATGCCGTCACTTCGTGTAGATGACACTGAAATGTCTACATTGACCAGTCGATTAGGAAGACGTCTACAAAGAAATTACTTTCATTCTCTTTGAGTTGGATAGATGATTATGACAAAATAAAAAAAGCAATTACCACAGCTGGACCTAGTTTATTCCAAATTTTCCTTCGTGTGCAATCTTTAATTTCTTATTACCTTACCTTTTAAATATAAGTTATTCAATTGTATAAAGACGTTCTAACGTTTTCAACATATTTACATAACTCTTTTCCTCTAAGTTCATTTCAAAGAATAATTTCTCTTAATGCTGTTTTGCTGATATTTTTTTCCTTTTAGAATTTCAAAGAAAAACTTGAAAAGCCTACACTTGCCCTCATTCCTGGATGAAACAAAGTTTAGAGTATATAGCAGCTGACCCCTAATATCAGAATTAAGGCTGTATAGTAATTATTTATTTCCTGTTCGTTTGTTTTGTTTTGTCTAGTTTTATTTTTCACTTTTTTTAAAGTTTTGCTTTACTCCCCTAAGCTTCGAAATGAAGTTAGAGTTGCCTGGCGTCTATTTAAAAAAGAAAAAAACATCCGGACCGTAAGGAGTCAACTGAGCCCGCGATTGTTTGGCAGGATTGTTGCTAAGCAGCAAGACATATTATGTCGGCGTTATGCTGACGCGACAACTCTTTCGTGATTGTAGTACAAAAATCCGGAAATTTCGATTATTTGGATGAAAATTTGTCAAATATTGAGCCTCCTGAGGAAACAAAAGCGTGGGCCGTCTATCATAACTACCTTTACTGGGCCAAACAAAATTTCCCCACGCTTTTAATTTCTCTTTTTTTCTGTTCATTCACAGCACATTAATTCATTCCGAAAGTTGGGTGTTCGTGAGTTCATAAATGAGCTAACAATGGACGTGGCTCGGGCTCATCAATCTTTCCGCTATCTAGTCTTTCTAAAAGGTGCCTTGATTTCTGATTTCCTATCTTGTAGTGATGCAAACTTGGTCTCATCTCCATTGAGCGGCGTATGTGGAGATGACCATTATTTACGCGTTTGTACCGGAGCCTGGTACAAGCCACAGCACAGACGGTCTTCCATTTTAAATGGCTTATAGGCCTTTTGGAACAAACTGTGACATGGTACAAACTGATCGGCCGTAATGGATGGCAGGCAGGCTCCAAAGAGCCTCCAAAAGAAGCCGGCAGCTATCAAGCTGGCCTGTTTTTTTTTTGTTGTTGTTTCGTTTTTGGATTTGGATGTCCTTGTGCGTAGCTTGCCCGCATCCAACATGGAAGATTACATACCAAGCGGTCGTTTGTTGCAAAAGGTTTCGGAAGTGGACATTGTGTATGCGTGAGTAAGTGAATTCGTTGTCTGGGTTGAACGAGGCTATTATCGCAGTTACAATGCTACCTCAATCTAATTGAAGGACTTCCTTACAGGACAATTTAGATCTTCTCGACAAAGTGAAAACCCATTCATTATTTACACTGTGATAAAAATTGTAGCAGTTTTTCAATTGCTACGTCAATAGCGACGTCACTTGATCCGGGGTTCGGGGAACTAAAGTCTTAACATCCGGGTATTTATTACGCTCATTCACTATGGCGTCGTATAAAGTCTTGTACGTGGCGCATACAACATCCACTGCTCGCTTGTGAACTGTGTCCCTGCAAGACAACAAACAAACATTAACGCGGCAGGATGCGGATTACTAGCGCGATTTTGCAAAGAATCTTTGGAAAAAACATACTTTTATTTAACAGGGTTGACAATATTGGACTGATTTTGTATGACACGACTGATTATGACGCGAAGATGACAAACAGTGATGGACAAAGAAAAATTCACTACATGTAGATAGCAAAAAGAGGTTTGCGGTTTGCGAAAACAGAGAAAAATATTCCACGTAAGATGGCAACATTTTCCCGGCTGATGGGCGTGCCAGAAATAATCCTGCACCATAGTGGTAGTTACTTTGAGTATTGTTCCAAATCAGTGAAATTAACCTTGACTTTCACTCTCTTGAAAAGGCTCTCGTATTTGGACGGGCTCTACAGAGGCTCGTCCAGCGGTTTCTGTGGAATATTTACAGTTCTTTTTGACAAATGCTATCTTGCATAATGGTAGAGGCCAGCGAAAAGGAGCCATAGCCTTACTTTGTTCTGAAGCCATCCCGAAGTGACGATAAATTACATGAATTACACATACATAGTCAAACCACAGAACGTAAGGCGCGCACTTAAACAAGATGGCGCCCGGTGATGTTGTGATAGGGGAAAAAAGCAAAGTATTTGAAAACTTACCGTAACCGCGTCGTTCTCAGGAGATTACACTGAGGCATGATGAGACTGTCTGGAGAGGAGAGGTATTTGTCAAATTTGGCCTGTGATAAAAAGAAAACGATACGTTTAATAATGAGAAAACTTGAAACATATACGGTTGGAGTAAACTGTCAAGTGAACCTTGAGAATCCAAAATGGCGACTCTGAGAGAAAATCAAAATGGGTGCCACTACAAACTAGCCCTTTTCAAACCCTAGATTGTTATCTCCTTTTGTTCACAGCACACTTATGAGTTAGGACTATACCACTGAACCTCCAGTAAGCGGACCGGACCCTGTGACACCTCTCGTGTGTCACTCAGGACAAGGGTCCGCTTATGGTTTGTTAAAAAGTTGTGTTTTGTCAACGACTGGCGTACAAAAACGTGAAGTGCCCACTCACAAGGACAGGGCGGATCCCTCGTCAGTTCAAAACAAGTGCCTGTTTTGGAAGATCTTCGTAAGTTTTCGAAAGAAATTTCCATTCCTGTTCTGGTCATTAAGTCACGTCTCGTTAGCTTGCGACACCGATATCGAAATCTGCGGTATCAGAAAACTATTAGAGACGATATTACGAACGGAAACGGTTCATTTCTCCCCCACCTGCCTATCAACCCCGAGCCCCTTCCCCCACCCCTCCCCCTACATCCAACCTCCCCTGCCCTTCCACTAGCGAAAAAGGCGAGCACAACTATCCCTCACTCACCATCGCGTCCTTAACACTTTGTGAATCCATTCCGTGGAGCGACGACAACGCCACCTGAGGGACGATATATATGGGTTATTGACCAAGTTTGAGGTCAAGATGGCTGGATATTGGCCAAGTTCTTTTTTTGCGAGTTTATGGACCGAGACGGAGTCGAGGTCCATAAA